CCTCTTGTAATTCTTTGAAGGGTCCTCGTGCTTCAACTTTGCAGCTGTCAGAATGGGCAACGTGATGCCCTGGGTATTTGAGGGAAAAGCAGGCTGAGGAATGAGGAGGAAAGAAGGAGAAAGGAGTAGAAGACCAGCGGATGGAACTCTGGGTTTGGGGATCTGGCCCCCTTACCTTCACCCCCACCCCCCAGGTCCTAAAGTAAATACATGCAGCGCAGATCTGCAGGCAAACAGGGCTGCTTTTATCAGCTTTAGTTTTCTTCACTTGTTGTGCAACTAACATTGTGGGGCAATGGTACCTAGCAAACAGGGCAGGGAAGAAAACCTAAAGAGGAGGCACTCTCAAAAACACACAACGCATGCACACTTATTCTTTTCTGCCTACACTCTTATATTCTCTGTCTCTAACGCCCTTTCTGTCTATGCTCCTGCTTTTCCACTCTCTGCTTCCCTCTCCACAAGCCATGGGGGAGAAAAGATGACGAACCCAAGTCTGAGCCAGCCAAATGGACACAATCTCTCAATGTGTATTTAAAGAACCAAAGGCTTTGCGCTGTGTAGAAGGGGCCCCGCTTGACAGATTGAAATGGATGGGCAGCATTTTTGCTCTCTGCACAAAATTAGTAAAACCTACAGAAAAAAAAAAAAAAGTATTCCATTCCCAGGGTAGAATGGTGGGAGGCATCATTTGTCCAAATTTGTGTTTAAAAAAAAAATGTTTTTTCTGAACAAAAGAGAAGAGACAGGGTAAGAGAAGTTGAAAGAATTTTTTTTTTTTTTTTTTTTTAAGCAACACTAGCTTCTTCTAAGGGTTCTCAAATCTGTTGCCCTTTAAGGAAAGTTTTGCTAAAAAACTAATAAATTACCTTCCCATTTATTGGGATGTTCCAAAATAAAGGAGATAAGAAATGCCTATAAACAGGTATGAATATGAAAATCACCAGTGCATTTACAAAGGTAATCAGATACAGAATATCTCTCTCTCTAATGAAAAACGGTCTTCATTTATTTTTCTGTTGTAACAAGAGAACCACCTAAGAGCTCACATGATAGCAAGAGGATGTTTTCCATCCCAGGTTTTCCTGAAGAGCTGTCCCAAGCCTGGCTCTCCCTCCCTTAATGTTGAGACATTTGCTGTGACTTTGTTATTGTTACTCTTGATGAAGGGATGAAGGAATTAAACAGAAGATGCTTCGAGGCATTTAGGAAGACGCTTGGGCAGCTATATTAACTCCTTATTATGCCTAAAAATAGTCTGCCATTTCCTGTTGGTGCTTGTTCCCTGACATTCTAGGGCTGCGTTTATCCTCCAATGGACAGGGGGTCTGCTTTCCAAAGACTGCCTTGATTAAATCTGACTTCTAACACCCCTTCCCTTCTCCCTTTGCCCTGTCACATTTCTCAGCAGGGCAAATATGGGGGTCTCAGCCCTGGTTTAGCCTACAGATTAAAAAGACAAACATCAGCATTTATCTTGTCTTAATCTAAGTGTTTAAACATTGTTGGGTTCTTTTTTCCTCGGCTGAGAGAAAGATGAATGTTTATATAATAGGGAGCAGGGTACTAGGCTTCCTAAAGAGAAAGAGAGATATAAAAAAGGAAGAGCGGGAGGAAAGAAAGACAAACATAGAGACTTTTATATAGGATCCCCAAGTTAGGGAAGATAGAAACGTGTATTGTTTTCCCACTGAATCAATTCTGGGCCCAGCATATCAACTACCTTTATTAAGAAAGCTTTAGGTGCTCTCTCAGACACCTGGAAATGGAGTCAGGGGATGAAGCATGTCATGTCGATGCAGAAGATCTGGTTGGCTTTGTCTTCATAACTCCACTGGACTACAGATTTAAAAATGCCTGGAGCAGGGCCCTCTAGCTTGGGACATGCTTAGTTAATGTTCTCCAAATTGGACAGTCTTGAAAAACTCTGTGAAGCCCCCTGGTGGGCCAGTGCCATGTTGGAGTTTCCTAGCTGCCCGTTCTTGGGACCTAGGACTGGAGAGATGAAGAACATGTTGTCCCAAACTTCAGTGAGGTGCTTTCTGGGTAAGGAATAAACAGAGTCCACTTGTTAGATGGATTTTGGGGAGCCTAAGGAGGATATTAATATGGACATTACAGTTCTGTCAGTAGAGAAAATAAGACCAAAATCTCAGTGTTTCCTTGCATAGCCTGGTCCTTCTGGCTACTCCTGAAGATATCGTCATTGACCTGGGCTAAGACAAGGATAGAGGCAGCTCCCATGTGCCCTGGAGTTTTCACAGGTGTGTTGGGGGAGGGGAGAAGGGTGTCAGGGTTTCCAAGATATCAGGCACCCTTTACTTACACAAATACACAAACAGAAATTTACACTGAGTGAGGAAAAGACTAGCAGGAATTTTTTTTTTCCCCACCAATGTCTCCTGTTGAGAAGGGGGTTCTTAGCATGGCTCTGTAAATCAATACCAAGTTATTTCTGTGAATTCAAAGGCTATTTATCCAGGTCTAATTTCTTTAGAATTAACATGATAACTGAGCCCCACTTGGCAACCAAACCCAGCCAGGCCCTGCCTGGGTTGAATGTACTTCTACAGCCTGTGAAGCTTCAAACCCCCCTCGGCACCCAACACATTCCCAGGCTTATGTGTGTGCACAAACACCATCCAGAACTGGAACAGAGTGGTGTTTTCTGACATGAAGAGCCAATTCTTCTAATAGTGGCCCCAGGCAGGCAGACGCACAAGGTCCTGTGTTGTCAGTATTCAAGTATTTCTCTCTAAATAATATTGACAGATATAGCACAAGCCCCAACACCTCAACATCTTAAAAAGCAAAAAGCAGTTTAGCCCTCAAATCCTGCCTCTTAAAACTTCTTAGTGCTATGACCCTCAAGTACTCAGGCTCTAAAAGAGCCTTAGGCCTCCGACTCCTCCAGATTTCTGGACTTACTTCATTTTGAATGATAAAGGCTTCGGCCTTTCCCGCCCTTCTCCCACCCGCAAAGGTTGGCCCGGGTTCCCCTGCGGGCGAGACAAAGAGGTAGGTAGGAGCCAGCACCCTGCCGGCTGCAAACTCGGCGCCAGGGCCTGGAGACCCTGAGGTGTGCGCCTTCCAGCAAGGCCCCGAAGAACCGGGATATCGCCTCTTGCAGAGGAGGTGGAAGTGCCGGCTGGACTAGGGCAAACCAGAGGTGACTCCAACCACCTCGCCTCGGCTCGTTACCTCCGCCCATGACACTGATCGAAGGACTGAGAAGCCGAGCTGCCGGGTCAAACTGGATAGAAATGATTAAGAGAGATCCCCGCCGAAGACAGCCTCTGAGGGCCGAATGGCTGGTGGCAGAAACCACAGATGGCAGCCACTCGCGGAGCCTCTTTGGCGCGCTGTGTGGGGCCACACTAGCTCTCCGGCTCTCTATTCTCGGGACTGGCGGGAAAGTCGGACGGTCATGCCTGCAGTTTGGTTTCTGTCCCACTAGTGCACTGCTATCAAGCCCGGAGGGTCCCCTCGCTCGCTCCACTCCCCGCTTGGGTCGCACAGCAGGTCTCAGGCAGGACCTGTACATATGCAACAACTGCCACTTCGGTGCGGCTGCACACTCTCGCTCCACTGAAAAAGGGTGCAGGGATTATATCCACTACCTAATGAGGAGATGAGAGCCCTGAGGCTACAACCCGGACAGTCCCAGCCTGCCCAGCTTCCTCAGGGAAGAAAACAAATAAGAAAAATAAAGTTATTTTGCAAATACAGGCTGCTCCGCCCGGGTCTGGTGCTCAAGTGCGCGGACCGTTCCGGGCCCCGTCACGACCCACCCCGCTCCGGGTGCGGTCGGAGTTGCGGGAAGCCAGCGAGAAAGTAGCGCACCTGCGAGCATAAAGGAAGAAACATAGACAAGCACGGGCTGGGGGGGGTGGGGGGACACGCCTTCACCGTGTTAACAACAAGCTGCAGGGTATAAAGCAATAAAACTGCCACGTCTACCTGCTGGCTTTGAGTGGCTTTGAGGACATTACCAACAGGCTACGCGCGCAGCCCGGGTGCACCGAGAGCGCACGGGGGTGTGGGGCTGTGTTTGTGGGGAATCTTCTATTTTCCTGACCTCCCCTTCTGTCCATCCCCCACCCCCCCGGCCCCAACACACACACACACATCTCCCCCTTAGCCAGTCCACCTTTCATTTTCCTTGAAGCTTTTTTGTTGTTGTTTTAATTTACTGCCGATTTGTAAACGCGTGGATCGGGTTACTAGCTCGCGTGATAAAGTGCACCTCTTGTTAAAAGGAGGGGAACAAGGCACGCCACTTAAAAATGAATTCAAAGTTACTGAACCGGCTCCCGGGACTCAAGAAGTTAAGCACCGCGGGCTGGAAAAAGGAGGGGGAGAAGAGAGCAAACGCCGCTGCCCTGGAAACTGCAGAAAACCCGCAGGCAGTAAGCTTCGGGTCTTCTGATAAATTGAAGGAAGAAAAGAAAGCAAGACAGAAAAAGAAAAAGAAAAAGGCAAACTGGCCTGACGATGCCTGGAGACCTCGGCTGGGAGCTGGGAAAATCAATTAGTGTAAGCCGCTGCCGGCCGGCTTCGCGCAATGTGTAAATAGAGTCGGAACAGCTCCCTGTGCAGCCACCCTTTTCTGGAGTTACAGGGGCGAGCAGCACGACTAAATTCTCCATTTCTTGGGTTCCATGGGTCCCGTAATGTGTGGGGTCCAGGCGAAGTAGGGTGCAAAGAAGTTCCCAGTAGTTTTCCCAAAGGGAGACACAAATTCGTCACTGCAGCCTCCAGACACGGCGACACAAGGTTGTTATAGTGTACATTTCTCCGTGTGGTCACAGGCTCTCGGCTTATATCTCTGCGCAGACCGAAAGCGGCGCGAGACCGCGGGGGTCTGCAGGTCTCTCCCACCCAGTCTCAATTCTCTGGCAGCTTGAGCTCCCGGCGCCTTCCCGCAGTCCCCGGACCCGGGAACCCGGCGCTGCCAGGCCTGCCCTCCTCTGCGCCTGGCCCCGGTCCGGCTATCCTACCTGGTGGCCGGGCCTGAGATGTGCACCGGGTTTCCGCTGTCTCTGCTCGGCTACCTGGACCTGAGTGGGTCTGGAGACCGGAGGGATAAAGGCTAGATCCGCAGTCCTGGGCTGCTCCGAACTTAATGTCTTTCCTCAGTCCATCTTTGAAAGAGAAGTGGTTCTACCACCTGGATGTGTGGATATAAATCCCCTTGCAAATAATAAATGGATTAATAATAACAAGGTATGAAGTTCTTTTTATAGAAAAAAAGGAGAGAATTGAAACTAAATGCGGCAGTTAGACAACCATTTTGATAAGAGGATAATTGAGGCGACACTGGTGTATAATTAGAGGATAATTTATGCTATATCCACTTTTATTCCACCTCCCAAAATAAACCCAGTCCATAATCATTACAGGCAAATTGTTCTGAATTTTATAGCAGCAATTTGAACAAAGTACTGCAGTTAATCATGGGAGATTTTTGTGTATTCCTGATTAGAACTCTAATTGCCTCCTTCCAGAAAGTAAAAATAACTGTAAAACGACTCTATTTTTATCATTAACAATGTTGACAATAAAATAAAATCAATTGGAATTGTAATCGAGAGACAAATTTAGGACGAAGGCACTTTTACTTGGGTAGTTTATATTGTAATCAAGATTTGCCAAACCACTAACCGCATGTATCATTTGCATATATTTGAAAGCATTACAGTAGCTTCTGTTTTCAATAGGAAAAAATGCATTACTGTCAGTCCTCCAACGATTTGCTTTTAGAACAGACTGCTGCGTTCTGGAACCCCCCCCCCCCACCACCACTTTGTCCAATATATAGGAAATACGGCCTGAAATGACAGGAACCTTGCCAGAACAGAGTCTGATTTTTCTTTTTCTTTACTACCCCCCCCATGGGGTGGAGCCCAGGTGTGGGGGTTCTTCTCTTTGTGGTTTCAATAAAGTACGACTAGAAAAAAATCCACTGTGACAGGGCGCTCCCGCGGGAGTGTAGTGGAACTGGGGTGGGGGTAAGGTCAAGGGAGGGGACCTGGCTTTAAATGCAGGGGGGCATTGCTTCTGAGCGCAGGCAGCCTGCAAGGGTGCAAGGGGATTGAGAGCGAGCAGCTCCCAGCCAGGCTGTTACCGGGCTGCGATTTGGGAAAGTGGGGCTCCGGGATTTGGGGCACGAGCTGCGGCGGGAAGCGTCGGCGGCCGGCAGGGCGGAGGCGCCTCCCTCCCCGGCGGCCCTGGGCGCCGCTCAGCGCGGCCCCCAGCTGCAGCTCGGGGCTGGGATTGGAGTTGCAGAAGGTAGGCGAAGAACTAGCAGAGCGGCGCACACGCCAGTAGAAGCCGTGCGCCTGTGACGTCAGGGGGCGACTGACCAATGGGGAGGCGCTGCCCTTTGGAGACAAACCATTCGACTCGTGGCGTCTGCATCAAGTCTGAAAGCAGACGCGCAACTTTCGCAGAATCCACCTTAAAATCTCTGCCTTAAACTGCACCAGCCCCCAAAAAATCCAAGGGGGGAAAGCAGGGGGGGAGAGCAGGTTCCCCCCTCCCCCTCTCCTCTCCCATCCCTCCCCCTTCCTCCTCCCTTTGAGTTAACAAGGCCCCGCTCACTATATCTCTTTATATTAAAATATATATATATTAGAGAAGAGCGAGGGAGAGGGAGAACCACCTCCGCCCCCTCTTTTGAAATTTTTTTTAAAATATTTTTTTTGCAAGGATCCCAAGAGCTAAGGTGGCTGCAGAGGGGAGAGCGGCGCGAGCCAAGTGGGGGAGGGTGGAGGAAACCCGGGAGAAGGCTTTCTCCAGCCCCCAAAGTTTTGATGATGACCATGACTACGATGGCTGACGGCTTGGAAGGCCAGGACTCGTCCAAATCCGCCTTCATGGAGTTCGGGCAGCAGCAACAGCAGCAGCAGCAGCAGCAGCAGCAGCAACAGCAGCAGCAGC